AACACAGCAGAACGAACTGTATACACAACTTCTACTCCTTAAGATTAGTCAAATGCCGGCTGAGATAATCCAAGCGACTCCCCAAGAGTCCTTTAAGAGGAACTTTGAACTATTCTTAAGGAGTATGGGCAATATCTTACTATGCTTTGCCTATTTCTTTTTCCTCTATTTTCGTTAATATACCTAGGTTCCTTCCTGGAGTTATTGGTGATTCACTGCTACTAGACTCGTGAGCCCGTTAAGTAAAAGCTCCTATTCCGTCTACAACCGTTTGCACCGCTTTGATTTATGAAACGACTGAAACGTAGACCACGATTTTTTCCTTTGTTAGTGGCACTGTTTGTAACCATGAGTATGTCGGTGTAAATAAAAAAGGGCAAAATTGATTGGTTGATTAATACTCACCTTACTGTTGTTATTCAGATTAACTCTATCTCAGTTATCTATTCTTTTGCATTACAAACCACGGCTGGTGACTGAAGATTATAATAGTTTTATAACATCTTTTCAGTGGCTGGATTTTCGGTCGGGATTATTATGCAGTAACACTATCGGACTTATTATTCGCGTCACGCTATCACTAAGTGCAGAGGACCATTTGTAAGTCAAGTGGACTCATTTATGATTGTTATCCCAGAAGGGTCTTATAAGCAACATTCAGTTCATAACAATTTTTATCATTTAACATACGATGTTGTAAGTGCTATTTGTTATTTTCCTATATTCATAGACAGCCACTCCGATTTGAAATGTAGATATTCACTTGATTTTCCGAAAATTTAAAATTGTCAGTCGATTCAAGATTAGTAATAGGATGATCGGAAGTCATACAAAAAGCACGCACAATGGTCACTAAAATAGCTTTTAAACGACTTGAATGCCGCCTTGATATCTAACAACTCAACAAAATGAAAGGAATTCCGGACCGCAGCTCTCATATTCATCAATCCGAAAGATAATTCTGATCTTCTTTTTAGTCTGCAGGACAGCAACAATAGGAAGCTTTCAGAACAATTAACGGTTGCACTGAAGAGATTAGGATATCAGCTAAAACCGTTGAACACAACGAAAGCCAGTAACACAATGACAAGCTAAACTATTCCAATGCTCCACAGCTCTGGTAGCTAGAGCGAAAAGACTATACTCAGCTTGGAGAAATGTTCATTCGACGAGCAGCCGGAAGCACGGACGGACAAACATATAACTCATAAATACGTATACGGCACAAAAATGTTATTGGCGAACATCACAAAATAGTGTACCGAAAGAGGAGATGAACCAAAGACACTTAAGGTCTTTCCAAGTGTGTAATACAAACTGAAAGTGAAAGTCGGCGCTTACGGTGCAAAAATGGGAAATTCAAATATTAAAAATCAATTTACAAAAGTAAAGCGTTTACGAAGTTTTTTTCTGGGGATCTAGCATTCCTAACAATCTTTCTCTGAATAATAATCGTAAAGAATTAACAACACAAGTAATGTCGAGTAAAAACCCTGGTGAGTTGAAAATTTGATTTCATGTTCTCATCCCATTGTATCAGTAAGAATACTATGGAGGAGGAAATTCACTGGAATTCAGTTCTATGTGAGTGATGTAAAACTCCGAAATCACTCAAGACTTCGTGTAAAGTTCACTAACAGTGCTGACTTAAAGGACGATCTGCTGACCAGCCACTTGCTGAAATCACAAAATAATGTGGAGATACTGCCTGATATACCATATTCTGAGCACAATCAGAAACATCCCTAAGAAGTCTTGCGAGACATTCTTTCGCGGATGTCTCGAAAAACACGGATCCTGATAATGAAAATTCTGATATTCAGGGGTGCGAAATTCATAAAGCAATCCTTGAAGCTCAAGAACATATTGACTGAACAAGCGGTGCGACTATCCAAGGAGGACAAGGATTCTAGACCCCGGCTAACGAAGATAACCTCTCTACTCTCCTCAATGGGGAATGCTCCTCTCGAATAATTTCATACTAACAGAAGCCGGGAATCAGCTGGAATCCACGTGCATCTGGACAGGCGATATGAAGCAAGGATTAAGCGCATAGGCAAATTGTAGACGATTACTCTACTTGTGGATTGTCAAGAACAGGGAAAAAACCTAGAAGGGACAGGTATCACCAATATACAGCTTCTAAACAAAACCATTTTTAGTGGCCCGGATGTAGTTCATTTTGTTATACTGTCAGAGGCAGCTTCAATCTTGGCAAAACTGCCTAATGTTATATTCCCACATTCGTTAAGCCGTGGCACGACGCAATAAAATGGGAGGCTAACACACATAACACCAGTTCATAGGAGGCCGACGCAGTGAACTATCAAGCTACTTGTCGGCAGCATAACTCTCAATACATTCGAAAGTCTTGAAGTTCCTGATTTACGATGATTTGCGCAACTACTTGTTATCCATAAACTTCTTTTCACCCCGACAGCACGACTTCGGGAAGAGACACCCTTGTGTAACCAACGTGACGACCATCCTTGATCGCAAATAGAAGGTTCACGTAGCGTACGGTGACTTCCTAAATGCTTTTGATAGAGTCATACGGATATGTCAGGTCAATAATCTCTGATCGCTAGATATCAAGTCACTGTTAATTAATTGGTTTCATATTTAAATGATCGAATTTTTAGCATCAGGGTTAACTTTACAATTTTCAGGCTTCAGAATGTCCTGACAGAGTCTCTCATATTTCGACATTGGGACCTCTTCTTTTAATCGCCGAAAACTCCCATTGTACTAAAGCACAATTGTACGAACGAAGAATACTCTTTTCAATAATTATATGTTCGGCTTAAAAGGTTATATTGTTAGGAACCAATGCCACCACAGATTCGAATTCAACACTTCACAGTGTAAAGTAGTCTGAGACATGTTACAGGCAACAAATACAACCTAGGTAACTCCCAAGTTTAAAAAATCTAGGATTGTTGTTATCCTATTGTGTGAAGCCTTACGTCAAATGAAACAAAAGTAACTTTCAAGCAAACATTGCGCTGGAAACGTTGAAGCGCGGTTTTGGCCAATTTGACGGTTGAACTTTTCACTTAATTTTCACACTATTCAAAGCAGGGAAATGCGGTGTTTCCCATACTACTTTACAAGGATAAGGATACATTGAAACGTATCCAGCGGCGGACCAAGAAATCAGTTCGGAGACTTGAACCCAAGCTTTGTGAAGAGTGCCTCAACTCAGTGAACTTTAAGCCACAAGAACATAGGCGTCTCAGAGGTGACTTATAGTGTCCTAAACACTTACGAGCATCTGCTCAAATACTTACATAAGTTCAGTCACAATATAAAAATTACGGGTAATACCCAAAACTTAAAGACAAAACATCGCGAAGTGAGCTGTAGACACAAGTTCAACTCTTTTAGAGTATTAAAGATTCCCATTGTGAAAATTAGAACAACACATATAAGCGAACAATTGTTTTCAATTAGATCGTCATCAGGCTTTACTCTAATATACATGATTATTTATACGAAAATTTTAAACCAATCAAGGCAATCTGGGTCAATAATCACAATGAAATAGAGTTAGTCTCTACACATAATAGGTAAAAGTACAAGTTGATAGTAGTAGGAAGACAGGTGAACTGATAATGGTGAGAATAATAAAAAATACAATAACAAAACTCATCAATAGTTAATCGTTGGAAATAGAAGGTCAAACAAACATGGGTTAATAGACTAGGAATAGTAATCACAAAACATTTAAATCATTACGTAATAAGATGTGTGTAAATAATTAGATAGTGAAGAATACAAAGAGGCGGAAAATTACAAACAAATAATGGATGTGGAAATAAGGTTAATGATAACACGAATAGAATAAAATAAATAATGATAATAATAGAATTTAAAATAATAATAATAAATAAATAAATAAATAAATTGTTAGTTAAGTTATAACTGGCCATGGAAGGGATAGGGGAGTCACGTATTTCTTCTGTACACATAAATTGGGGTTATATGTACGAATTACAATGGCTTCAGCTATATATAGGAGACGAGAACGGACTCCGTCGGGAAATGATGGAGGTATACGATAGATAACTCGAAATGATTTCGATTTATCTACTGCATGACCGCTATCAATAAGATGTGCCAATATAGAACTGCGAATAGTTTTTCTCTGGCCCTTTATGTACCAAGTTGGTAGATGTTCACTCATTCGTTGGTTAAGTTGCCTGGTAGTACGCCCTATATAGCTATCTCCACAGGAGCAGCTGAATTTGTAAATGCACATAGAAGAGGCCAACTCAGGTAACTTATCCTTCGTTTGAGTAGACATCGCTGGTCGACAAGAGAAGGTCAACGCAAGATTGGCTGCGTAGAATGTCCTGGTGATTACTTTAGTTAACCTATATTTCAGAGTATCACTAGCCACATCCCCGTTGAATTTCACTTTCATGTATAAAGGTTTCTTACGAACAGTCGAAATCTCCGACTTCTTTATTATATCCTGCATGTACTTCTTACTGAACGCGCTGGGGTAGCCGATCTCGGTCAGTGAGTTGTTTTAGAGTAATCAAATTCCGGAATTCGCTACTGGCTGAGTCCGTCCAAGCACTTCTCAAGAGTTAATTAACAGAAAACCTGAAATGTTCTTCTGGATTTATAACAGAATCTTGCCGAAATTTGACAGTATTTTGCTCTTTGCTCATTAAATATATGTAGGCTCCTGCCTTGGATCATCGTTGATCTACTGCGGCTAGATACGAAAGCCCATTTAACGAAAACTCCTTTACCGTGCAGAACCATTTGAACCGTTGGTACAAAACCCCATATAGTTCCCAAGGAACAAGAATGATATATCTTTAAGAACTTGGAATAGTACTCAATTTAGTTTCGGGAAACTTTATGTTCTTTTGTGCTTGTTTTATGGACATGGTTACTTGTAGGTATCGATGATTCATAGTTACTAGAAGTGAAAGCTCATAAAAGGAAAACTTAACCGTTCACAGTTGATTCAAACACTTGGACCGTGGTTGTCTCAAACTAATCCTCATCTTAGTTAATTTAGTACCAATGTGCATTCAATAGTAGAAGTACATCTTTGTTTACATCCACCAAACCTCAAGGTATATGTTCACAGCGTTAAGTTTCGCGGCTCAAAAAAACAGTAGTAAGTGTTGAACACGCTTTAAGCTTCGTAGAGGTGTTGTTTTCCCACTACAGTAACTGATGTCCGGCCAAATTACAGCCCATACGAAATAATTTCGGTGAGTTATTTTATCATTATGGACTGATTTTGTCTGCAAATTACAATATCAGAATCACTAAAATTTGTCGAAGTCTTTATTAAACCAGCTACCAAATTTTCTTCTTCACTTAGTGTCTGTGAGCTAAGTGAGAAATATGTCATGTGTTGATATAGGTGTACAGTTGCCGTTTAGTCAGCTTCTTGTGTTCAATAATAATTACCTGCATGACATCCCATGGGCCGTGATGAATTATTGATATTAATCACTGAAATCGCTATTCAGAGGCAATAATTCATCACGGCCCATGGAATGTCGTACGGGTTACCTGTGACTTAAAAACCTTAGTTCGGGAATATCATTTTTGCGGGGATTTTTCAAAATTCTCAACACGCCTATAGTCTATTTACCACGAACTTCGTCTTAATATGAAGTTTTAATTATGAACTTGAAATATACTAACAGTATAGTCGTTTCTTGAGGGCGCTAACAAAATACACGGTGTTTCGATGTAGAGATGTTCCCAGCTCACTTCTTTTCAACATTTTGCTTAATGAGTGGTCTACTCCAACCACTGAACTAACCATGGTACAATTGTTGACTACGCCACCCACTTCTTGGAGGATTAATGTCAGCGAAACTATAATTTATGGACGAACCAATCACATTTAAACAACAGTACTCTATTTTACTATATGGTTATAAAACACGGTCTTTGAAAAGCGAAGAAGTTCATAGGTTATTGGTATTTGGTCTTATGTGGAAATTAAGCGATGATTCCTTGTTTTGATGTTAAATCTAGACTCAGATACTGGGCAGATTCAGCAAGTAGGTCACTAATATTGTTAATCTTTATTGCCTGCCTCGACGCAAAGTATCAGGTGCTGTGGGAGTTAGTCGTAAACAGATTGCGGAAGAGACCCTCGAAGGTTACACAAGTCAGTGAAGTCATCATTGGTCTATACGTTCGGCTAAAAATTCCTGTTTTGAGTGCGCTGGATTGTTGTAACTAGTTGTTGGAATGATGGCGATTATTATTACTATTAATGGGGACAGGTGACACGATTCAAAGTCGGTAACATTAGGATGGATACATTTACTCTTTGCATTCCCTTAAGTTATGAGGTTTGAAGTTATTTTGTACCTTTGGTTCCTATAATTCATCCTTCCTTGGATTACGTTTTCTGTCTAATCGTTTTTCTACCGTTTATGCTACCACCGATTTCCGATAATTTATCCTTATGCTGCAGCAAATTGGAGCGGTGCAAATATGTGATAGGTTCTGCGTTAGTTGATTGATATTGAGTGAAGCAGTTGTTATTTTTACTAATTATTAGTGCAGTTAGTAGTAATGGAAATAATGTATACCTTCGTGAGTCCCTAATAATTTGTTACTATAACCGTACTTATCTAGCTTCTTTTGATATTAAAATATTCTGTTTCATCTCTTGGATCTCTTTTTGTGTGGAGTTAATAATTATGACAAGAACCAGTGAAAACAATCTGGTTTGACGTCGGCAAACTACTCACAAAAACATGCTTTTGTGCTATGTATGTTAAGGCTTTCATTTTGTATTTTTCAGGCTATATACCTGATCTTTCAACTGTTGTCTTCCTGGATACCGATCTCCCGTTCCGAACTCACGGTGCTCAAACGGTACATCCGAGCAATTTATACTGATGGAAGACGACATTCTGCGTCTCACAAAAAAATATATTGGAGATTCACACGTTAAAAGGTGTCAGGAGAGATCAATTAAAAGGAAAAAGAAGCTCATCACCGTACTAGATCAGGTGAGTTTATGATCATTCAACTGCAGTTGGCTGCGCCTTTGCAAAATTTACTGCATGATGATGTTGTATGTCGAGACTTTGGGATAGGCAGTGATATCAGGTAAAACGTCCTGGGCAAGAAGAGATGGTCAGTTTTTGAAGTTGTTAATTGGCGTAAAAAGAGAGTGGCTAATCATATTCTTTCATGTAGTCTGATATATGATAATACCTTAAATAGGATTAAATTAAATAAAAATCTAAGGATGACGCAACTGGCTACTAGTTTTATGTATCAGTAAATATGAATTTTCTAGTTTTTAGTTTTAAAGTAACAGGAATCAGTGTCAAATACCTCGGGTAATAATAATAATAACCGGCTATATATTGAACCTTTTTAATTTTATCACTTGTCACATTCTCTTTTCTCAATGCACAACTTTTATTTGTGGTAATATCTTTCAATTTTTGGTAACATCCGCTTTCTTTACAATTACGAACTTTGACAACTTGAACTTATGTACTATTGTATAACGTCGTGTCTCAATAAAATTCTTTGACCTTTTTCCATATATATTTTGGTTGATGTAGTGAGATCATGAAATGTTTACTCTGAGCCAAACTAATTAATTGGTCGATGAACCTGAAGTCTTAGCAATCTTCGAACCTCAAGCGTCAAAGAGTAGCATCGAAGTAATTCGCTTTATTATGATCTGAATACTGATACTGTTTCGATGTTCTCAGAATGTATTTAATTTATTTTGATATAAATTCATTGACACTTGCTGCTTATTTTATGGAACAAGAATACCACAACAACTTCACAAGTTGCGACTCCTGATCATGACTTCATTACTTGTCTTGGTTTTCCATTGATAAAGCGTTCAATGGACCTGATGCAAATTTCCAGAAAAACAAATTAATCGATGCAAATAATTTATTCCATCTTTATCGTTAAACTCTATATATCATTTGTTGTAAAAGATAAGGGTGTATGTATGTCAGTACTGAAGTGGTATATTATATCTAGCGAAGCGACTGCCGATTCTTCATTTACTAATCATTAACTTTCTAATGTGGTGTACTGTCTATACATTTAAATAGCTCAGGTGTTGTCTGTACTTAAAGAATGTATTTGTTACTTGTAACCTAAGGTTTCCCCGTGAAAATATTGAATATTTTCACTGAGTAAACCGGATAAAATATCTGTTAAATTTTTTTTGGATGAAATACAATTCATCATAGCTCATATGGTATCGCAATAATTAATTGCATAGATTTTATTATTGTAAATTTGTTTTTCATTTTTAAGAAATGTATTCTGTAATAATTTGAACTCACTCAGGGACGGCTTCCAGATGTAGGCTTTTCTGAAGCCGATATCGAATCGTTACTTCTTCAAATATCATCTTTCGATTCTAATAACTGGGAGAATTCTGTGGGTGTTGGAGAACGAGAAGGACGAGTACTTGTGAACTTTATTCGTCGTCGTCATTATGGGTAAGCTGTTCAATATGTGTTTGAATATCTCAATGTAACATTTCTCAAATTCGGTGGCATGCTATGTTGACAAAGGTGAATCTTAGTAATTTGTGTTTCATGACAGTCAAGACTGTCAATAAATTAGTCAAATTAACTCCGACTTCAGTGAGTTCGATCGGCTTTCATTTATGTAGCTTTTTGGTTCATTTATTCAACATTCAGCTAGTGAACTATAATTCCTGAACTATAATTTCTGTTTCAGAGACAGATCAGTATATCTCTAGCTCCCTTGCTCATTTCTTATTTGAGGCCAATCAGATAGATGTGCCTGCATAACATAGTTGTTCTTCACTCTTGGATTCCATTCCAGTAAGTCTCCTCAAACGCAACTCGTTATCCACTTAAGTACTGAGTCCAGATAGCCACCCATTTGTGCAGAGGGTATGAATCTTAATTTAGTTTTTATTGGCTTGGATTATCCCGTTTTTGCTATTATTGTAAAATAAGACATTAGGCGGTTGGTATGTGTATTTATTGCGAAAAGTTACGAAGTATCTACATAATACATATACATAGCATCCAATTGTCCATTCTCATCTTCCGGTGTGTTCTGCAATTTAAAATTTCTTCCTTACTGGGCTTTAAGTATTCTGCCAACCCCAGGCTTTGATGCACTGAAACTTCACTCTGTCCTATAATTGTTGCAATTTCGACACCACGTTCTGTTTCATACTACTTACAAACATCCTTTTAGTAGATTCCACTACATTATGACGGAAATTTGATCAGTCTTGCATAAAATAAATGGAATGTAATAAGTGGATAATGCGTTGGCGTTTAAAGTGAGTGGTGCTTGGGTCGACTTCCGGAGTGGACGCCAGTTTTGGGATGAAAGCATATCGATCTGACGAGTTTAAATACGTACTAAACGTACAGTTTGAGTTCCATTGTTAGTCATATTGTATCTATTCTATATATGCTTGTATCATGATGGCTATACCGAAGCAATCCGCACAGGATGCACCTGTGCAAACCAAGACTGATCAAATTTTACTCATGATATCAACAACGGGTTATTGCAAACAACCACGAATTAAATTAATGTGCTTAAATTTTAACAGCGCTATAAAATGGGGCGATTCAACAAAAGAACATATGAAATCAATTAGATAGTATATTCAAAGACATGGGAAAATTAGTTAACGAGTATTAAGCTGTTTGAAACCTAATCTAATAAGTGGATTCATTTGAACTGCATTAACGTATTCTGCACCATCTTGCGTTCAACTGAAAATATACCCAAAGAAACTTCCTCGTTGCTCCTGATGACCACTAAGTCAGCTTCGCTCCGTATAATCTGAATGTTCGTACTGATCAAGGCGAAGTAGTATTTTGATACTTATCAGTCATATCAGCTAATGCAAATTCATGGCTTTGTTAATTAACGTTTCTTCACTACTTAGATGCTTGTATCCAACATCCATAACACTCCATAAATAACCGTGGATAATAAAGTACACATTATTTACAATTACACTATATTTTCTGACAGAATAGATTTACAAACCGTTTCGTATCTCATTCATTCCTAATAGGTGTTCACATGTTGGATTTACTTATATGGCTAATATTAAGATTATTTCTTAAAATGTAGGTTTACACACGGTATTGGACGTTCTGGTGATATAGCTGCTATTCAACCAAAAGCTTCTGGTTCAAGTCTTATTTGTCGACTAACTAATCAATTGTTACTTGATTGGTTAAGAAAATCAGGTAAATGATAAATGAAAGTTGTAAATAATTGAAAAAACATCATCGATTATACAGTTAAGCGGTAATAACATCTGAGATCTGATCTACTGTCTTAAAATTAATTATTAGTTAAGATTCATGAATTCTTATTCAATGAATTTATGTTTAATAAATGTATATGTATAATTATACCCGTTGATATCAATACATTGTTAACCATCCAGATGCGTTAGTTCGAGAGAGGCGCAAGTTAACACGTTATTACACTTTCGGAGGCGCTAGGAATCCATCTTTTCACATTTGAACTCTTTGCAAAATGAGACACATACAGGCCATCATTTCTTCCATTAGCCCTAACACTTAATCTTCATAAATAGTAATTTGATTGTTAATACATACTTCTAATTCCTTTTAGTCTTATTCATTTTAATTGTTCGTTATTGTCACCTTCACGTTTTCAGTTTATTCATCACCCTTCTCATATTCGTCAAGTGGACAATTACCTTTCATATATTTAGTTTCATTTTATTATTTCTCTTCAGTTCTCAATTATCAAGCGATTTTCTTCGACGAATAATATGACTATCGTCCACCTATTTTTCGCTAAACTATTTTAATCGTGAATGAACTAAAATACAATTATAAAGCTTGAGTAAATGATATAGTCAAAAAGAAAATTTTCTCTGAATTTTATTTAGTTCTTCTACATTGTTAGCCATTGAGGCCAAAACCACATACTTCACAAGCTTAATAATATAATCTCATCTTAGATACTCAGATTTTATATCAAATACTTATCACGGACTGATATTAACTGAAGAATCATAGTAAACCGGACGGCATTTGAATAGCGTTTTGTCTTGATTTGGTATTTCTCAGCACCGTAAACCCATATTATTTTCCCAAAAGGTGGGACCTAGAAACTTATATATCATCGAGTCAAAATCCAGTGGTTCGCACGCCAGACTTCGATCAATAGTTCCGCGATATGGCGAGACGATTATCTAATTTTGCCAGTGGTATTTGACGCCTGATAGAGTTGTGGGTGATCGGTTTCTGAAAGTTCCAACCTAGGTGTACATTTTTTCTGTAATCACTATATCTGTATGTGACGTGGAATACTACCAGAACACCAATGCTGAAGCAGATAACTTTCTCGAGGCGACCACTTCCCAGCTGCTCACTTTAAAAGTCCCATTCAAAAGGCAGTGGAGTGGAGAAACTTCTGAAGATCCATTCTCATGTCAGCAGTGGTCAAAGTAAGTTTGTTCCCCTCAAGATCCTAAAAATTATATCCCTTACGGGTTCGGAATTAGGGTTTTTCAATTCCCTTAGGTAGGCTCTCTGTGTCCATTTGGCTGATTTAAGGGCCAAAGATCCTTTTTCCCCTCAATTTCATAACACCATTCTCACCACATAAAGGTGGTTAGTAGGATTTACTGGGCTAAGTTCGCAAACACAACAGTGTAAGAGCACTTTATGAGAGGTAGCAGGTCATTTGAGAAAGAGGGACAAAATAAGATAAAACCGATGTCCTGTTTTTGGTGGTTCTGCAGCTTGTGTTAATCGGCGATAAAAAACTAGTAAGAAAATTACCCTCCTAACTACCATTACTTAATAACTTCAAGTTTTATCCTAATCAATCTTTTTCGTCTGAAATACGGAGAAGTTTTGGCGTACTGTTTATTATCGAACATTCGTTTGAGTAATATGAATTTCAAGGAATGACCACTGTCAAATGTTACTTATCGTTAGTCAGTTATTGTCGTCGTCAAATATTCTCTAATATTTAGTGCATATTCCTGTTAAGGTCCAACTATTTTCATATTATTACCAGAAGGGGGGTTTTGTGGATATTTTAGTAATTTAATAGTTGAATTCATGAGTTAATTATAACTAAACCACTATGGAAAACCTGGAAGCACTGAACGGCCATTTCTTCCTAGTATGGGACTCCTCAGCAGTGCACACTCACGATCTCACACGTTGGATTCGAATCATAAATTTCTGTTAAAATCTCAGATTAAGTTACTAATTCTATGTGAATCATAGTACTAATAATACAATTTGATCGCTTAAAATTCATGATTAGTCAACTTAAAAATGAGCTGAATAACTATACTACTTATTAGAAGTGTGAAACAATTACAAAATGACTGATTCTAAATCTAAATTGTTTCATAATATTACTTGATAACAAATATTTTTTCAAATTTTTTTTCCTTTTACTTTAAAATGATAATATATTTTTGTATTATTAAAGGATCACCAAGTACATCTGCATGCTTTCTTGTTCCAATGGCTACTGGAATGTCGTTAACACTATGTTTACTGGCTATGAAAAGACGTCGTTCACGTCGAGCTAACTTTGTATTATGGTCACGTATTGATCAGAAGTCGTGTTTTAAATGTATGCTGGCTGCAGGTTAGTATAATACACTGATTAATTTTAAAGATTTGATACTTTTGTTAGTAACTGTCTATGGAATCAGCTAATCTATCTGTCGTATTTCAACAAATCATGATAGACTTTCTACTCAGTAAATTGCAAGAAAGTTATCTGTCTTAACAGCAACATTTTACACATGAGTAATCGCACTGTGTAACGTATTTTCATTGACCTAGTGTGTCTTTCGATATTGTTTTAAAAAGTGTATTAAGCAAGTGTTGTTGCGTTGCCTTATTGATAACCGTGTGAGTGCTTGTGATGCGTTCTTGTCAGGAATCACAATATTCCTTTTTCTTTCTCTATCAGAGGTTTACTAAAATATGTTGGTCTACTCTGCACTGATCAGTTTTGATTAGGTGGACAAATGAGTCTTTTTATTCATAGAGCGTTAGACAATGAGTATGCGTTTTGCTTGAGTTTCGTTTTTCAAGTAAAGTCGCGTCAGGATTAGACTTCTTAGCAATGCATATCCATGACTTTACAGGAATCATGCTGAGAACTATTATATCTCGGTAAATTTATTATTACATTTAAACTATTGATTTGAAATACAATGGTTTACGTCTCCAATTTCAGTACATCATCCAATGCCTTACTTACGATACAATGTGAACTCTACCAATCACACTTCACTAGCAATTATGTAATATCAATCATTTTTGCCCAGTTAATACTCTATGAGATAAATATAAAGTACTATTCATTTGTATTTTTTTCTGGTTTGTAAAAAGTGATTGGCTTTTGACGCAGTTGGGTTCTGTCCTCAATGTGTGTCCTATCCACTTCCAGCACTTCTTCCTCCACTGCAATCTGGTTTGTTCTCTCCCATAGTAGGTTGTTGCTGATAGTGTCTGGCCAACGGATCCGAAGTATTTTGCGTAGACAATTGTTAATAAACACCTGTATTTTCTGGATGATGGCTTTCGTAGTTTTTCAAGTTTTTGCCCCATACAGTAGAACTGTCTTGACATTTGTATTAAAAATTCTGACCTTGGTCTTGGTTGACATACAGTTGTTTTGAGTTCCAGATGTTTTTCAGTTGTAAATATGCTGCTCTTGCTTTACCAATCTGCGCCTTCGCATGTGCATTAGATCCACTGTGTTCATCAATGATGCTGCCCAGTTATGTAAGGGTTTTTACATCCTCCAAAGTTTCTTCGTCAAGTGTGATTCGATTGGTGCAGGCTGTGTTGTAGAAAATCATATTACTTTCTTTTAATTGTTTACATTTAGTTTGTAGTCATGAATTATGCATTCTACAGTCACCCCCCCCCATTGGATAATAATTGATAGAATGTGAATTCGTTAAGTTGATGTTGTACTTTTGATAAGTTTTATCATTTAACTCGTAAATTAAAAGAGATATGTAACTATATACATATAAGCTTGTTGTTTACATCTGGATATTGATTATTTATTCAATTGGTAGTTCTTTACGTTATCAATCTTGATAAAGCACGTTTGGTTTGAATGATAATGCAAATGCATTAGTATATTTACAAACGGTAATCCCTGATTGATTTAATCTAACTTCTATCTTATCGTTTAGTAAAATCATATCGGATTTATATTAAGGGCTAGGAAGTTTCAGCGTGATAAAGTCTATTATCATTTACTAATTTCAGTACTATTTCGAAAATATTCTCAGTTGGGAAGTTATTCAGAAATACCAAAAAAATAAGGAATCCTGTCTTATCTCATCGATGGAATAGAACGTCACAAATACATCGATTTTCTCATTCCAGGGTAAATAAACTATAGTTCGATACTTAGAAAAGTCGAAAGATCAATTTCGTTCTTGTTAAACTCAAAGACACATTAAACGGCAAGTACCATAGGTTTATTCAGTACATGGGATACATTCTTCAGTATCCTTATGCAATGAGATTTCTCCTTCGGTCTCTGATTTTGATAATTTTTTTTCTCGGAAGTTTTTCTTGTAAAACACATACGCACCTTTTCACCTATTAGAGAACAAGTATGGTAGATGGGAATGCAATCTGTTCTCTTGGGCTATTATAAATGGTCAATAAATGAAAAGTTACGTCAATATTTCTCCTTAGGTATTTTTACATCATTGTTCAAACAACATAAAACCAGCTGATGAACAAACCTGATGTTAGGTTTAGATTAAAAACTGACAATGGTGAATCGTTCCTAAAGTCGCGAACTTTCGTCATTCGATTGAGTTTGTCCACGATTGTCGTCTGACTGTGATCATCTTTCGCCGTTTGATGGTAAAATTCATTTGTCTTCGATGTTACAAAAGATTTTTGTTGCTGTTTGTTAAACATGGTATTGAACAAGGTTCTATAATAATTCTTAAATTAAAGTCTATGTTGATTTAGTGCACAAATGCAAAGTGTTTACATCAACACTAAAGTATAAACAGATTAATTTTATTACAGTATTATTTCTCACAGTTTAGTTTAGTTACTGTGTATACTCTTTACGCTTAACCAATTGAACTGGACAGACAACTAAGAATTACCTGGAAGTCTTAATCACCAAAAGGGGGTAATAAAAGTACTTACAATTCATGCGTATGTATAACGTAGGTATATTGATTTAGATAGGTCCATTTTGTTAGTCATTCATGTAATCATCATCTGATCACATTTTCAGCTGACTTATCATCCCTTATTGAAACATCAGGTGGTTTTTCTAGTTTTAATCGATACATTATACTGTAGTCTTTGAATTATATATATTCTTCTTCTTATCTTTTTTTTCTTTCTCTTCAGGATTAATACCTATCCCTATTGAATTAGTCACAGATAATTCAAATGATCAACTTTGTTCAAATCTTGATGCTTTAGAGATAGCATTAAAAAATCCTGCTAAATATTTGTTAGATCACTGGCCAGATGCAGCACAAGCTTATAATGTAGATGATAAGTCGATAGAAAATTCTACATCTGATGATATTGTGTGCATTTTTACAACTACAAATTGTTTTGCACCTAGAGTTCCAGATAAGTAAGTTTGTTAATATCAAAAGGGGTTTTGTGAATATTTATAGTAATTTCAATAGTTGAGTTCATAAGTCAATTGAAGCTAAACCACTATGGAAAACCTGAAAGCACTGGACGATCGTTTCGGCTCTAGTGTGAGACTCCTTAACAGTGCGCATCCATGATCCTACCTCACAGGATTCGAATGAACTAAGAATTATTGTTTAATTAAATAAAATAGTCGAATAGATAATCATCTTTATTAAATTATCTTCAGTATTTTAAGTTTTTGTTTCTTATCTAAAAAAGTGTTGTGTACCTCCTGTTTACATTGTAGACTACATGCAATTACTAAATTGTGCATTAAATATGGTGTATCACATTTAATCAATAATGCTTATGGTGTACAATCACCTAGATGTATGCGAATGATTGAATCAGCTGGAAAATTAATCATTGAACACAATTTAAACACATCAAGTAAGTTTGGTGGATTGTTTCATTCATAAATAAATCAAATATATAATTACTAGTATAGGGGTTGTGGAGATTATTAAGTTTTTCATTGAGATCATGAACTGATTAATGTTAGACCATCACAATTGAAAACCTGGAAGCACTGGACGGCCGTTTCGTCCTATTGTGGGACTCCTCAGCAGTGCGCATCCACGATCCCGCGAGCGGGATTCGAACCCAGGGCCTTCGGTCTCGCGCGCGAACGCTTAACCAACTGGACCACTGAGCCGCAATTTCGTGGATTGGTTGATGTTAGAAACTATCACCATTGGATGCCGGCTCAGTGGTCCAGTTGGTTAAGCGTTCGCGCGCGAGACCGAAGGCCCTGGGTTCGAATCCCGCTCGCGGGATCGTGGATGCGCACTGCTGAGGAGTCCCACAATAGGACGAAACGGCCGTCCAGTGCTTCCAGGTTTTCAATTGTGATGGTCTAACATTAATCGGTTCATGATCTCAATCAAAAATATATAATTGTTTGATTGACGAAAAGGTAAACGAAGTGAGCTATCCATATAAACGACATTAAATACATATAAAATTTCTTGTTTCCATGTTATCATTCATCTATTTATATGGATCATACAATTATTAAAACAAAAAAAAATTACTAAGCAAAGATGGATCGTGGCTAGCAATGGGATCTAGTTTGACGCGCGTTTCATCCTATATGGGACTCGTCACCTAGATGTACCTGCATCCCAGAGTTGATTTTCACACTGCGACTCGAACCCAGTACCGTCCGCTTCAAATGCCATCACGTTATCCACTTAGCTACTGAGTCCTGTTAGCCACCTGCTTGTGCAATCGGGTGAATTTTAAATTCACTTGGTGTTGTTTTACTTGTATCTTTCCATTGTTATTTAGGACTGCAATTAATCAGTCTCTTGTTGGCATATGTGCATACTGTGTGTATTGACTCGATATTGCCTTAACTCACAAGAATTATAAGCAAAGTTGAATAGTCGCTAGCAATGGAATCCAGTTTGACCAGCATTTCGTCGTATTTAGGACTAATTAGCTGGATGTACCTTCATCTCAGAATTGATGTTCACTCTGGGACTCGTATCCACTACTGTTTGCTTAAGACGCTATCGCGTTATCCACTTAGCTACTAAGTCCTGAACATCAATAGAACGATTCAAGTAAACAATATCAAGTGAATTTTTAAAAAATTACTAGTTTTCAGTATTTTCAAAACCATATTCACATGGTCTACACCATTTTTCCCTTTTAAATATTTATTATCAGTTGTAGTTATATAGTCCAATTGTATCAGTAGACTGAGTTTTACATGTTCAATCATATTTATATAAATCTGTTTCATGATGGTGGGTATTACTTATATTGATTCTGTTAAATTGTATGTTGTACAATACACCTTAATATTTGTAATATTGGGGGAACTCGAGTGTATCCCCCCCCAACTATTAACAGTATATTTCTCATAGTCAATATGTTATTGAAGTGTATTAGGTCGAGAGATTCTGACTTCTAGGTCATATAGACTAATACTATATGTATGTAGCATAAAATCGTTAATTTTTTTTTAAGTGAAAATAGCTGTTTCAAACGGTCAATGTCAATGTCTTCCTGACTGTAATTGCCACGTTGTTATGGTGATCAAGTTTGTCGATTGTAATTGTTCCTAGTTTAGCTATTTCGGTTTGAGGGATTTTTTTCTTGAATTCCAGACAAACAGATTATGAAAAGACACAACTGAAAGCAACGAAGCTCTCGTTAATAAGTATATCACTATGTAATAGTAATAATAATAGTATGTTATCCAGTCAGTCAATTAGCAACAACAATGTAGAACTTCGTACATACGTACATCACTTCAAGTTACCATACCACATTAGCACAGAGATACAGTTGTCTATTCAAATCCCATAGTGGTAAATGTAGTAAAAGTATAGGCAGTATTCGAAAAGATAAGTTAGCTTACCCATCGGTGCGGTTTTCCATCTGATAGAAGGTAGGATTACAATTCATCCTGGAAATAGATGTAGCCTATGAGCCAGCAAAACTGTTTCAGTCAATATTATACAAGCCAAAGGATACGGCAACGAGCAATCAAGACAAATAAGCGAAACTGTGAAGAGTATCATATTTTAAAAAGTATCCTCTTTCACCCTCAATGTCTGCATGAGAACCAGTCAGCTGTTAAGCGCCATGACATAACGTAAATTGATGTAGGTGGTTGTATCAATGCATTTGGTCAACTTTGTACATGCGTTCGATTGGATAAACGTTGAAATATTAGACAGAAGAAATACAAAGAAGTCTAGGAATTTTTTAAAGACCTGGCAATCAGTCAATAGGCATATTGAAATCAACCCGATCTATCAGCCAATAAAACACGTATTAGCAACTAGAAGGTCAGAGATCACGTCAGCGAAGGAAACAATCAAAACAAACATTCCAACTACAGCCACATAATTACTGACAAAGATCAACAGAATTCCAGGTCAATAAAACAAGCTATTAGTCTGTTGTAGGGAAATTCTAATTACAGTCCTCTTTGAGGTTTATTCTGTTGATGTTGTCCAGTGGGATAATGAGAGTTTCACGATCAAGTCATCCAGCTCACTTATTACAACACCTTTGAATTGAGTTTTTTTGTATTTTTTTTTATTAGTTGTTAAGAGTTAATCATTTCATCATTGTTGACAAAATGGGTTGAGTTTAGCACATTAGTCATTATCCTTACATTTAGCCTTCAGTAACAAATCACTTTTATATTGATTATTTCTTAGATTCATGTAATCAACCAATTGATTTGTTATATGTACAAAGTACTGATAAAAATTTAATGGTACCAGTTGGTGGAGCTGTAATTGCTGGATTTTCTACTGATTTAGTTGATTTTGTCGCCAAACTTTATCCCGGTAAGATAATAATGCTCTTTATTAATTCTTCTTTTTTCGTTATTATTTATTTTTTTAAAACACATAAACATTGATGCAAGAAGGCATCAAATAGATATGCGCCACATAAATCATTCGATTTGTGTGAGGGCTGGGATACTGCCCGTGTTCCCGAACCGAAGCAAGTGGTTTTCTTAAGAAGCCATACCTGGAGCCTTCGACTCAAAGATCTGATCCACAAGGCAGTGGAGCAACAACAGGAGATGCAGTCATATGGTCGAACAGGACTAATCCTTATTTTTACCTGAATCATTACTTGAGTTACTGAAGTTACTGAATCTACATTTCACTATAATTTAAATTGTCGATTATACAGTTTCATTTCTGTCATGAATTTTCTTATTACGACTTAGTTACTCTTCTTATTTAGTAGTCTTGGATACTATTTCACTTGATGAGTCCCCAAATCAAAACATGTTTAAACAATAACTCAGTTGTATTACAGATGAACAAAGTTGAATGTTAGTACAAATCACAATATGAAAAACACTCGTATGTTTATAAACTTCACTTAAGAAGATTCTAGGGTCTTCCCGAAGTATCCTCTAACGCTGATTGGTTAAGAAATAGTTAATCAGTGTACCCTAACGCAATCCTGCACAAGGCGTACCTTAATCTAATCCATATTCCGCTAACAATTTCTGTAGATAGTTAGTTAATACATAAATAACTTCAGTTATAACCAATAAATCGTGTTTGGGACACAAGTCGTCCGTTGTTAGTTATGTGAGTTCAATGAGGAAAGATTCATAAGATGAAAAGTATAGAAAAGATGAGAGAATACCATAAATGGTAGTAAGAAATTAAACAAACGAAGACCAATGCAAATGTAATGTCATATAATGATTAGAAGTATAGTATGTAACACTTTTATTCAAGAGTTAGAGAATAATTGAAACTGTGCTACTGTAATCAGTTTACACCATGTTGTTACTAGATGTTTGTTCATGAATCCATAACAGGAAATCTATACCTTCTGATATATGTTAGAATAAAAACTAGTGATTTCATTGACAAATACTATTTCTTGACTCTTTAGGAGTTGTCAGTCTTCGCTCAACTGACTAGCACATCATAGCACATAATGTTAGATAAGTATTCATGACATCTATTACAATCCCTTTTTTTCTGTCAATAATTCACAGCTTCATTAATCAATCTCTAAACCCAACTTGCTAATTTACACCCAGCGTTAATATAATTTACATAATACGTGAATAGTACTTGGTACTACTACTTACTCTTGTTACTCCTCGTGAAAGAGCACTGTCCGCCCACCAGCACTCTCCATTCAACCTTGTTTTTTGCAATCCTTTCCAGCTGTTTCCAGTTGTTATTCATCCTTTTCATATCTGCTTCTATTTTTTAACATTATGTATATAGGTCGAGCTTCAGGATCACCAACATTGGATGCTTTTGCTACATTACTTTATCTTGGTAATAAAGGTTGGAATGATTTAATTCAACGTCAATCTATATGTTTCAAACGATTACATAATGGATTAAAACAATTAAGTGAAAAATTTAATTTAAAATTATTAGATACTTCATCCAATCCTATTTCATTAGCATTAAGCTTAGAAAATCTTCTTCCTAAAACAATTACTATACAGAAATTCGGGAAAAATAACATGATAGAAGATAATCAGAAACGAGAGATATTTCGTCAACTAACACAAATTGGTGCTAATCTATTCACACAAGGATGTTCAGGTGTAAGGTAAGTAAATTTCATGATTAGACTGGCTTGTAAACGATTGTTTTTTTGAATTAGCTAATGCTTCAAATTTTATTCTCATAGCTATGTCATATTGGTAGATGCAGACTATTTGGTTGAGGTTAGTGTAACTATCTTAATCAATGGTTGGAGTTTCTGGATGACATGGCTCTAAATCGTTCACAATGATGTCAGTGTATACACTTTCTGTCTTCCCTTAAACTATAAGATGAAAATCGCTCTATATCTTTCTTTCTACGAACTAATTCTTTCTTCCTATACTCTATCTTTGTATGCAATCTGTCTTTTATATATATTACTACCATTAAAACGACTACTTCTATGAAAGCTGGTGTTCATCTTGCTGTACTAATCAGGTGTGGCTACTTGGATCGATGCATATATGTACCTGGTCCTACGTTGTAGTTGACTGAGGGTCATACATTGTCACTCATTATAAAAACATGAGATTTGTTTTAGATTAGATAAGAAGTGTTTCATTGTTATAATGTGAGAAAATTAGAAATACTTATTCATAGTATCTGACGTTCCAAATTCTCATATCATGTGATGTTCGTGGTTACAGTCTCTCTCTCTCTCTCTCTCTCACACACACACATTCTCTCAAAAAGAAACTTGAATATCAATGAATGAGTCAGATCATTTCATCATATTTTATTCTTTATCATAGAAATAACACGTTTCATTACTCGTATTCAATATGTCATGCTTTAGATACCTTTTAATTGTTGCTCTTTTATCAAGTTCATCTTTATTCTACATGTCACCATGTTGTAAAGTAAATAGATACATTATACTCAGATATATAATAATAAAACAAAGATGGCAACTCATTTACTAAGTACTGATGGTTATTGTATTAGGCTTCATTTTATGAATTTGAGCCTGTCATACTGTCCAACTTAGTTATATCACTAGATTATGAAGTCTACTAATTATGAGTTCAGTTTACTCCTATCAGACTGATGACTTATCTAACCAATAACACAAATGATCATCAGTAACTATCATAAATTACTATAAAGCCTACTGGTCCATCCAGATCCTTAATGATCAAACAGTACACATTCAACGCTTCAACATCTATCGTTATACGATGTAACGGAAGAAGTCAGTAGTTTAGAAAAAGTATGGTATTTAATGAAGACAGAGTTTAAGTAGAATAACCTTGTGTATTTAGCAGCAAAGTATGGTATAATGTAGAAGTAATCTACTTAGGATTATCGTTGCAGGAGAGAGATCAACATGAATAAAAAATAAATAACTTAAAACTATCTGCCACTGAGAAAAGTTTTACATAAGCCTAGTTATTGCTTGCTTTGATTACCATTACTTTTTAGTGTTACGGTAGGCTGGAAGTAAGCTAGAGAGCGAAAGAGAGCCGAACTAAGACATGGAATTAGTCTATGAAATTATTGATTGTTGTTGTTCTTAGGTGCGCATATTACCTGATTGAGGCTAATATTTACAAACCATAAATGACGTGGTTCAAGATGCGTCAGAGTGACTTGGATGCATTGATTGTTTTATCTTGTGGTTTTCAAGTTAAATACTTTAATTCCATGAATCCATTCCTTCTTTTTTAAACGGTATTTTCATGATTTGGTTTTTTCTATTATCATTGAAATTATTGTTATTTAAACTTCTTTGTATATTTTATTTTATTTTATTTCAACACATAGATAATGGTACAAAGAGACACCAAATACATATGCGCCACACAAATCTCATTAGATATGTGTGAGGGCTGTGATACTACCCGGGTGCCCAAACCGAAGCAGGTGGTTTTCTTAGGGGGCCACACCTCGAGCCTTCGACCTAAAGGTCTGATCCACAAGGCAGTGGAGCATCGTAAGGAGATGCAGTCCAATGGAAGACGGTGACCAACAATCGGTTCATACGCCATTTGTTCCCGCAGGATACTGGTACCCATGTGCACCATTGGTTTGGAATCCGGTTAAAGCGCCGGACATTCGCTTTTCGTCCTCTCATTTTCGTAAACAACACCCCCGCCACGAGAAGGCAGTGAGTAAGACTTCCCTGGCAGAGGCTATATACGCGTGGCCGTGTGAGAGCATTTCGAGAGGGAGAGCGGACTCTCCCCACTCTCGGCCGTACCAGGGCATTTGTATATAATCAATTTCATATAACTGTACTGTAAGGTTTTTTTTGCGAGGAATGCACATTCATAACAATCTACTGATTTCCTATTCCGAAGAAATTATTTTATATTGAACTCATAGTGTCCTCTTTTTAAGACTTCTTAATAATTCTTCTATCTTATAGTTTATCTTATTGTTCTAATATATACCATTAACAACTTTAACTGACACTCATATATATTTGATTAAGATCATGAACCGATTGATGTAAGACCACTATCGAAAACCTAGAACGCTGGACGGCCATTTCGTCCTATTGTGAAACTTCTCAGCAGTGCGCATCCACGATCATGCTCGTGGGATTCGAACCCAGGTCCTTCGGTTTCCTGTGCGAACACTTAACCTCTAGACCACTGAGCCGGTCGGCATCTAACGGTATTAATGTCCAAATTCAACCAATCCATGAAATTACGTGACCATCTTTCATACCTGTCTTAACCCAACACGGATTAACTCCACTAGTCACAGCTTCTCACTAAGTAAGTACTAAATATCATGTTACTTCATTTTGTTTTTATATTGATTTCTAGAGTTGTTCTACCGGCATCTATGCAAAATTCTATCAAATTAGATGTTTATGAATTTGATGGATTTAATTCACATAGTTCCACATCTATTATACCTTATGTTAATGCAGCTTCATCAATTGGTCAAAATGAATATGAAATTGATGTATTTATTAAAAAACTTGATAAAATTTTACAATATTTTCAATATTACATCATAAATAATTATAATATTGACTTAATGAATACTGTTACGACTATGACTACAATAAAGGATGATGATGATGATAATGACAATGATGAGATTGATCAAGATAATGATGTTTTGTCCAAAGAATCATTCAAATTGAATTCCCGCTTTATCTAATTTGAATTCAATATTCAATTGTGTAAATACCACATATATGTATATTGTGTTTTGTTTTTTCGCGCCCTTTTTTTGTTGTTTGTTTGAAAATGGTATCTGTTACTTTTGTTATTTCTATTAGTTACCTTTGTAATTTCTTGTTTAGAGATTTATTGATTTTCTATTTTGTTATTTTTGTTGTTGTTGTTGATGTTTTTCTTTTTTTTTCGTTTCTTTCTCCTTCTTCTTACTTTTGCATTTGTTTTAATTTAAAGTAAAGAAGTAAAGGGATATTCATGAAATGATTAACATTGTTTATTCTATTCATATATATATAAAACAAATTATATTCATCTTCATTACTTAATGACTAATGCCTGTTACTCCTAATGGAGTATAAGCCACTGACCATCATTGTCTAACCCAATCTGTCCTGGGTCGAGGCGGAGTTATTCATCTTCATTAGTATATATATATATACATCTTAATTATAAATCTAAATGAAATTGGTATTTATTTAATGAGCTCATACTATTTGATGGGTGGAATATGATTTATTACCTTTAAATAGTTTAACAATAATCATAGAAAGATGAATGATTTCATAACTGTGATGTTGTCTAATTCAATATAGACAATTGTATAAGTAGTTTAATAGTAGTATTGTTATTATTATTATCATCATTTAAATGGGTGTGTTATTAATTATGAAAATACAGAGAGATTAGTTCATTCTATCTCATGTTCCTTTGTAAGTGATACAAATGAGGTCTGTTTATTTTTTATTTGTGCTAACTTCAATCTTGATAGTGAATATTCAAGTGACTAGATAAGAACAATAGAGAATTGTAACTAGACTACTATTTTCTATGTCACAAAAGTGTTCATAGATCAATGTGAAATTTAGTTTGAAAATTTCTGTTGAATGAATAAATACAGTTCGACATGCAACAACATTTGCTCAGACTATTGTAACCAAATGGTTGGAAACTCTGGATGACATGGCTCATAATTGATCACTATGGTGTAGGTGTATACACTCTTTATCTCCCCTTGAATCGTGAGATTAAGATTGTTTTATACTTTTCTTTCGACGAACTAATTCTTTATTTCTATACTATATCTTTATTTACAACCTTTTTTATAAATTAATACCATTGAAGTAACTACTATGAATTTGGTGTTGAACTTGTTGTGCTATTGAGGTATGGCAACTTCGATCGATATATATATGTGCGTGGTCCTACGTTGTAGCTGACTGACTGAATGATATGTTCAATACGAAAAGATGACTTTAAACAGTGATATGATATGAACCAATATGAGTTATCTCAGTATTCATTTGCTCAACGATAGTCGACATTAATTTGATCAACCAACATTCTTTATTGAAATGAATATACTGGATACTTACATACTGACTATTCATTGGAAACTCTACAGATCACATTCATCTTGTTGTGCTAATGAGGTGCGGCAACTTGAATCGATGCATATATGTGCCTGGTCCTACGTTGTATTTGACTGGATAATCAAAATATAAGTTTTACACTTAACGGAATTTGAAAATGTTTGTACAACAACGCGAAATAATATGTTGTGACGTGTAAGTCGATTTATGTCTGTCATGTTGATGCTACTTTATAAACTTATCATTTGAATTACCGAGTTGTTGTTTTCTAGGACATCGATGGCACCTCAAACTGACAGTGGCTTCAAAAGTTGATGTTACTTTCTGTTTTGATAACACTTCTTATCGAACGTTGCAAATTCTGATTGTCTGTAGCTGTTCTGTTGTAGCATCACCTACTAACTACAAGTAATTTGATGTGTGATTAGTATGGGTAATATGTAATTGGCCATCGAACATAGACAAACAAACAATCAGTTCAATGTTCAGTTTCCTTTCTATCTATCTTTAGTTCCTGATCAGATCTCATTGATTGTGAACTGTCTGTAGTTTTGTTATTTAAAATATTGTCTAGCTTATAGTCTGGTAACCTATTTTGGTCATTTATTTGATCTAACCTGATCAAGTTTATGTATATTGTATCGTCCGAGTATCTAGTTACAGCAGAATCTTAGGTTATATTATAGTATTATGATGTAACAAATAGTAATCTTATATTCCTAAGCTAGCCACTATCCATCATTGCTTAAAAAGCTTATGACTCAAGGCTATATTGAGGCCATCCGCACAGCATGCACATATACTAACAAGAGACTGATTAATTGCAGTCCTCAATAACAATGGAAAGATACAAGTAAGACAACACCAAGTTAATTTAAACTTCACCCCATTGCACAGGCAGGTGGTTATCAGGAATCAGTAGCTAAGTAGATAGCGTGATGGCATTTGAAGCGAACGGTACTGGGTTCGAGTCCCACAGTGAAAATCAACTCTGAGATGCAGGTACATCTAGGTGACGAGTCCTAAATAGGACGAAACGTGCATCATACTAGATTCCACCGCTAGCCACTATCCATCATTGCTTAAAAAGCTCTGGATATACCTGCATCGTAGAGTTGATGTCCACTCCGACACTCGAACCCAGTACCATTCGCTTCAAACGCCATCGCCTTATCCACTTAGCTACTGAGCCTGCGACTTAAGGCTATATCGAGGCAATCCGCACAGCATGCACACATATCAACAAGAGACTGATTAATTGCAGTCCTAAATAAAAATGGGAAGATACAAGTAAAACAACACCAAGTAAATTTAAACTTCACTTCATTGCACAACCAGGTGGCTATCAGGAATCGGTAGCTAAGTAGATAGCGTGATGGCATTTGAAGCGAACGGTACTGGGTTCGAGTCCCACGATGAACATCAACTCTGAGATGCAGGTACATCTAGGTGACGAGTCCTAAATAGGACGAAACGCGCATCAAAGTAGATTCCACTGCTAGCCACTATCCATCTTTGCTTAAAATAATAATCTTATTCCCCCGTTATATTCTAATTCCTATGAAATGTCTAACAAATAGCAAATATAGATATTTAATCAATAAATTATACTGTTAAAAGTACATTCTTCATAATCTTCAAATTATTGAAATATTTGCGCTTCTATTGAATTTAAACAATTTAGAATTACAAATTCCAGGCAATACACGTGATCACTCTATGATAATCAGAACCTCCTTTTTTCGGTTTTTCATCTTACCCCCTAACATATAAACAAACATATTTTTTTTGTAATAAGCACTTTATTATTTTTTTCCTACAAATTTTATGTGTTTATTCAATTATTATTTACATGAAATAGGTTTGTACAGATTCAATAGATTATTGATTACTATGGATACAAGAATTTGATTCATGTCATTGGAAGGTTACATAATGAATCTGGAATAGTTAAGGATTAATAAAACATAATGGTCTGAATAATCATACATCATTGAATGATTGTATCTTCATAAATTAGGAATCAGTATTTTTATATTTTCGAAGTATATCTAGTGTAAATATGAGCGTAGAATTATTGACATCAGTAGCTCATAATGTCGATGTAGAAACGCAAACGCACTTTATGAAAGCCATTTAATGTATTCAAAGATGGTACCCATCAACTTCTCTGTAAATTCAACGATTCAGCATTTTGATCAAATTCATATAAAGGTTTTAAATGGTATTAATTCTACTGTAAACACATATTCAGTATACTTTAACTGTTTGTTTAATGTTTTAGAAAGTAGTATATCCTGTTGTTTTATTGAAGAAATGAAAAAAATTTCGGCAAACGTTTTCAGTCATAGTGAGTCCTCTCGATCCCCTGCTGTTGAGCGTCGGCGAATAATAATTAGAGATGCTAAACAAAAATGACAGTAGTTCAGATTAAGGAAACACAATCCCTATAGAACTAGATTTCACGGTTCGATCATTCATTTTGGATAAATTGGGAAATCTGACTGACAAGAATCCGAAGGTTGTGTTTTAGGATGATCATGAACATGATAGGGCTCTAGCTAATAAACTGGCGGATTAGGGAGATAACACTGAACCCAAATTAAACTAACTGTCAAGTTTAACGTTAATCCAATCTGAAATACTGATTGACGATCGTTAAGTTACTGACAATAAGTAATCAAGGACAATGATAACTAACGCGCATCAATTAGTTGACTCCATACAACAAGCACACATATGAAATTGATCATATTGTGTGTACGTTACCTCTCTTCGAGGTATTTTCTCAGATAGACCATATTTATGACAAGCTGTTATCTGCCCTCCAAGTATAAAAACTTTCGATATAGGAAATTCCCGAAAAGAAAACGCTTATAAGCATTTGACAATGATGACAATCATGTTACCTTGACTTAACACATCATTTTCTGGAGCCAATCAGCAAAGTAATTGCGCTAGTTCAAGTCCCTATTATTCACGAAACACACCTCCAATGACTAGACAACTTAAAAGTCAAACGCTAATACAGCCGTCACTGTACCTCGAACATCAACGCTTTTAAAAATCGTGAAATTCTTGATGTACTCAGTTATATTTGGACGCTTAATGCAGTTACAATTTTCCTTCAGTCTACTCATTGTCGATTGCGTCAACCCATTACTACAACAACCAGAATTTTTAGTAGTTAATATGAGCAACAATGCCAGAATCTTTGGAATGCGCTTCTCTCCCTCTAAATGCAAGTTGTTGCTTCAGGACTGGCCTGCGTCAACACCTGAACTAAGGATAGGGAGTGAAGTAGTCGAACGCGTTGACAATTTCACTTATCTCGGAAGTACGATCAACCCTAATAAGTTGGTGTCTGATGAAATCTCAGCACGGATTCGAAAAGCTCGATTGGCTTTTGCCAACTTGCGTCACTTATGGCGAAGGCGAGAAATCCGACTATCAATTAAGAGACGAGTATACCGCGCGGCAATTCGTTCTGTCCTAATTTACGGCTGCAAAACGTGGCTATTAAGAGTAGAAGATACTCGTAACCTACTAGTATTTGACCACAGATACCTTAAAAATATTGCTCACAACTGCTGGGATCACTGAGTAAGTAATAGTGAGGTTAAGCACAGGGTATTAGGGAATGATGGTAAATCAGTTGATGAGGTTGTGAATCTTCATCGACTGAGATGGTTGGGCTATGTGTTGTGTATGCCTGAACACGGATTACTACGACGCGTATTTCTGACTAGTGTTGGAGACGGTTGGATGAAAATAAGGGGTGGCCAAACCAAAACATGGCATCAGTACACAAAGTATAGATGAACACAAATGAACGGACTGTACTTAAATTCTTAATCACCGGGGAACGACTTACGAAAACCTCATTAGTTCGTACAAATACCGATTATAGTCAAGTGCTCAGGAAGCGGCTTGACGATACCATTGCGAGACCTGAACTCTAAAGTCGGAGTGAAAACACCGGGTATGAATATATAGAACGACATAGACTGGAGAAAGGAAATGGGATGGTGAGAGATTTGAGAAATTTATGTGCATTCAACAAATTGAATAAAAGTGACACAATATTTCACGAACAAACACACTACATGAATTTCTCCAAATCACCGTAAACAGATGAAAATTGATCATATTACCTTCATTATGAGCGTAAAACTTTAATGAAAAATGCAAGGAATAAGAAAGTACCCAACATATCTTCAGATTTTCATCTCCCTGCTGGATGCGAAGATGAAACCGTTAATAAAGAAACATTGAACAACTGGTAATACAGCATTAAAAAAGTTAACTTAAGCCTTCCTTCGAGATACTGATATACTTATTGAATTCAAGATATCCTTCAACAACATTTTCCAAGCATTACACGATATACTCAGAAAATAGACAACTACTATGGAGGAGAGCTCGTAAGGGATCAAAGAGGCTCTAACATCAACGAATCTGGTGGTTCTGGTTCACAACAAGCATCATCGTAAATAATGGATCTTTATCTTAAATATCGACAAGATTCAAGAGAAGAATAGGAAGATAGCAATTAACAAAAGCCGAACTGAATCATAGAAGGTCAAGGCACAAGCTAAATACACAGAAACAAACAAGTAAGTAAAGAGGGGCCAGTCGTATTCAAAAGCATAGGAACAGTGAGGGATGGATTACTTCGAGGGATTCTTGAATAGGTTAACTCCACCAAATCTACCAGACATCGATGCAGTACCTACATACCTTCCTATGGATGTCACTCCACAAACGATCAAAGAAATTAGGACAACCATCAGACAAAGTTACAGCGGGAAAGCAGTAAAGCCTGGCAAATTACAAACTGAAGCACTGAGGTTAGACAAAGTGGTAGCTACGGAGATGTCACACATACGGTTTGAAAACATCTGGTAGGAAAAACGAGTGCCGACAGACCAGAGAGACGGATGCTTCACCAAGGTAACAAAGAAAGGACATCTGAGCAGTTGAGGCAAATACATAGTAATCACAATACTATCAATCCGAAGAAAGGTTTTCACCAGGGTGTTGCTGAACCGGATGAAAGATTCAATAGGCTTACAGCCTCGAGATTAACGAGCTAGCTTTCGTGAGGAATGGCTATATGCCGACCAAATAACGTCATTACGGATCATCGTTGAAAAATCGATTGAATGGAGCTTGTCACAAATTGTTCACTGAATAGTTCCGTAACAAGTTTAGGATCGTCGTATACTTGCTTGTTTCGATTTAGTACGTTTAACTTTTTTTGAAGGAGTTTTATAAGTGTCGAGGAGTTATTATTAAGATCGATAGCACGTTTTTCCTGCGCGGCAGTTTTTTGTTCATGTATTTTCTCTGTCTGGCATTTATTTATGTGACCGTAACTAAAGAGGAAAAGTCATTGAAATTGTGGAATCGAGTACAACGTCTTTGAAGGCTTCTTCGCGTAGAGACTGGTATATACAAATCTTTAGAAAACCCAGGTCCTCAGTATGCTAAAGGTGCGATTTTTTGAAGATTTTTTGGTGTTGAAATAAAATATAATAGTTAGTGTGTCGGCATTCTTTACAGTATGTGAGGTTCCCTATCCAGTATTTCTTATATAATTTTAGACGCTTTTCCAATCGACCTTGCGATATTTCCTAAGAAGTGTTACAGTTTTACGCCTACCGGTCGCGGTTTTTATATTAATGCTACATATGATCGCTACTTGGAAACGTTTTTCTAATATGTGCAGTATTGGGTGTTAGGCGACTGGTAAAGATTAAGTTTGAGATATTTTAATGTCTGGTGGGTCTACTGACATACTGACTCCAATGTCCAAGCTCCAGGCATTCAATAAATGAATCATAACGTTAAGGCTCTTTGGCTGGAAACCAAGGAATTTCAGGCATGTTGAAGTCATGACAAATAAGCTTGTGGAATTATGATATTAGTACTGCTCTAATAATAGACCTAGTCCTATAACTGTAGATTTGTCCTGATATAACCGCCTAATCTATAAGTTCTTACGTGGAAGTCACATCATCGTCTACACGAACTCACCACATTTTAACAATTACCGCATTTTCCATCGTTAGGTATTTCTCCGCGTTAAATATTGAATATCTATTTTTCGAGTGGTCTCATGTTAAGCTGTGTGGATTGTATGGTTATAGTCCAATGCCATTACAAGCTTACCTGTGAATGAAAGGGGTGATGACAGTGTGAATACATCTGACAATGTTTTTATCTCACCTATTTTTTTAGAAGTTAGTTCGGTTATATTCATAAAAATTCAGAGAGTAGTTTAAAACTTTTAGACCCGACATATTCTCTTCCTTCACACCAAACTGGGACGAATCAAGGGACATAGGACGCTAGTTTGAAAGCCAATAACGAATAAAGTACTCATGTTATACATGTGTCCCCACCGAGTCGTCAAGTATTGGAAAGCTTTATTACCTTAGCTTGAATAGTCGGTTGTTGGCGCATAATCTAGACATGTCCACTGGTGTAAAAAATGAATACCTGTCACTTTGGGCTCATGGATAAAGCTTGTGAGATCGATATTTTAAAAAGCCTGTAAAAAATAGAGATGTATTGCATCTACCGTACTTTTACGAATAAAGAGTTTGGTCTATGTATATACTAAAACCGACAGATTAGTTATCGAGAGCTCGCCCTTTTAAATAATTAAAGAACTTGATAATAAGTCAAATGTTTTCTTGTCTCGTGCATTTTTGTACATAATTTTATGTTTTTAACGACTATGGGTCTGACAGTATTTGTTTGTTTGTCACGAAGTTGATTGAACATTTTGTAGGCACTTTCAACAGCTGTAATTTTGCGCTCGACTTGATCACGATTCTCGTAAAGTTAGTAACGTTTAGACAGACAAGTTTAGTATGGATATTGTTGATTGATTGATCCGATTAGTGCATATAGTTAAGAGATTATGGTAAGACCATGATGTATAGACAACATCCGAGCAATACCAAATTGGATTCGAGAAAATTCAACCAATTATAAAGTTTAAAATAAAGTTATAAGTGTGAAAACTTACGGTCTGAGTAGCTAAATCACGTCACATATAATGCCAAAACTCCATATAATCGTGCGGACTAATAAAGTTTGCATCAAAAAACAATGTAGTCTATATAAAATCATCTATCGTTGCAGGTGATAGCGAAAAGTCTCATGCACTCTGATAATGGCCTTTAATGTTAACTTGAAATAGCCCGAATTGACACTGAATAGACAGGATGAGGTAGTTATTTGTGTATTGAAGTTACGTTTTTCTAAATGATGGGGGCAGTAGTTCTATAAATTATTGACAATCTAATCATCCCGAGCTGGTAACTTTAGAGAAATCCCCAAAATGAAATAGCCTTCCCCAACATTTTTGGAAATTTCGGGGGTTGGGTCTCATTTCCACAAAATTTACTATAGCGGCTTCCCCAAAATCGGCAGCTTGGGATATTTCGCAGTATGAACCTGAACTAAATAAAACACCATTTTTACTCCTATATTTACGGTCTCTTCTGTAGAATATTAAAAAAAGTAGCTGAACAACATTAAAATATGCAGAATCCATCTCTTCCTTCTTGAACTCTAGGTGAGGAAAAAACTGTAAAGTTACACTTGGTAGTTCATGCTGTCACGTTATGTTATCAGCTATACACTTATGTATACTGTTATTTAAATTTTACTTTTTTGCTTAGTTTAAACTTGACAAGCTAACCTAGTTGTTGCACATCACCCTAGTGTAATATTTCTGCATGTAGTTTTCAAACTTCATTTGTTGTTTGTAAAAAAACTAACGGGAATCTTAGTATTTTATCAGCTTGTTCTTTGACGGAAACACTGGAACCTTTCGCGATAAGTAACTTCGTAGGGGATATAGTGCAGGAGATAAATCACTGTGGTAAGTATTGAAAGGTGTTCCCATTCTCATCTTTGAGGTTCTAAATTGAGCTTGGATATCTGACAATTTGTTGAAAAGTAAACTTGGATCAAAATAGCTTGTCTGTTTGTTATTTGATGTATAGGCTTGTTGGGTTGGTATTTATATTTCCATTTACTTTACCAATCAGTAATCATTGACAAAAAAACAGCCATTCAGTTGTTACGAATATTCATCCACTTGACACTTGAGATTTCTCAGGTGTTTAGAATAGAGTCACGTCAGTCATGTACAACGTAAGACCAGGCACGTGTATGCATCGGTCCAAGCACAGGATGAACGCCAAATTCGTAAAAGTAGTTACATCGATGGTACTAATATATAGAAAAAAGATTGAAAGTAAGGATAGAGTACAGGAATAAATTACTATTTCGTAGAAAGAAAGATATAAAGTAATTTTAATCTCTTATTTTAAGGTGACACAGTGTATACACCGACGCCATTGTGATCGGTTCTGAGCCATGTCACTCAGTTTCCAACCATTGGTTACGATAGTCACGTGGACGCCAACCACGTAGTCTGCATCTTACTCAATGTTTTAGATTGTCATTCATATTGAGAAGTCATTATTTTGTGAAAAGCTTCTAAATGATCTTTATTTATTAACTAGACCACTTCGTATAATCCCTTGAATACATCCCAACATTTTCAAAGCTAAGGTATTATTGAGTAAACGGACAATAATATTAACGTCTCATTAGTCAAGACAACACAAAGAAAGTCACATGAACTTGCGTCGTAATGCTCTTGATTTTTACCCAACTATTCAAAAATAGTTTTTGGTATAATGTATCACCAATTACATATATACAGTTAAGATGCAGTTTCATTCACTATAGTTGCATATGTAATAATCTTGATTTTTTGTTTGATAGTGCACAAATGACAGCTTATAATGTATTATATATAAAGAGCTATGAAAACAAGAAGTGCTCTCTCGATGTTCTGAACTGTGTCAATCATATTCAGAAATCATTAGATCGTGAAATGGCTCTTAAAGGTCCTAGCTATTTAGCTGGATTATTTCGTCTAACTCCTCAGATACAGTCAGGGATTTCTGAAGCCAAACAACCAAAACCGAAAACATCTTACGAGTCAATACAACACAACGAATGTCAAACGACCTTTTATCGTAGTATTCCGTCCGTATCTGATGACCCGAATTCCCAAGAATCCTTACAAATAACTTCTCCTGAGGTGAGTTTAATCATGGGTTACAATGGTTGAAAAAATCAGGAGTTAATAGTGTACTTGATTGATACCTACCGGTGCAAACTAAAACTAACGCTAATAAATAAGGTGTAATTTTGCGATAATTTGAGTAGCTCAGATGCTAATAGTTGAATATGTTTATTAAAATTGGCGACAGATATTGTTAACAACAACAAAGTCACTCACCTTTTATCCTTCTCTGAACCCTTTCCGACTATGTATCGTCCATAAACCTAATTCCGTTTGATTTTGTTTTGACCTGATGTTTTTATGTTTTTTAAAGCTATGACAACCCGAACAAATAAGGTGTAATCAACTTTCTTAGTCTGGTTTTGGCTGTTTAACCTAGAAATTAGCAGATTTATTCCTGCTAATTTATTATAGTTGGTTTCATATTTGGTTTTAGTGTTGATACGGTGGAATTGCATAACAGACGTTGATCACTTTCGTTGAAGAAGTAACCGAATCTGATCGTCGGAAACTCAACATTATTCTGGCGTGTTAAAAAACTGTAGAAATAGTATATTTTCCATCCATACATGTCTCAGTTTATGGTGAAAATGAAGAAATATAAGCTTACTTTAAAACACCTAACTTTCATAACATTGTAATATACCTATTTTCGTACCCTAAAATCCTTCATTACCTAACATTTCGACAATGGAAATTATCTCGTTTGACTGGATGTCCGTTGAATAATATAACTGCCGTACAGAATGTTGGATAGTGGAAATGATCAGATTTAGTGTATTTTTTCTGTTTTATCGAAACTTCTAGCATTTTCTCCAGGTTCCCCATTCAGTATGTTGTGAAGTTAACACTTAAGGTAGATATGTATTTTGCATCAATTCCTTATGGATACGGTAAGGGTGTTTTTTGCTAATTACGTTCAATGTAACATTTTGAAGTCAGTATTTTCTTTTGTCAATCTAGTTTAAATGATAAATCACACTTATTATATAGATGAGTGTGATTTCTCGGAACGTCTGCGAGCGTTATAATAGTAATATATACATTATTTTCTGTGAACTGTGCGCTGTACCTCAGAAACTTTTTGCTTTCAACGCATAAGACGTATCGATAAGGTAAATTTAAGTTATGAAAATATAAAGAGGAAATTTATAGGTACATTATTCAGGTTATGTCATCAAAATAATTGTTAACTAATTGGGCCGAAAGTTGGTCTAGGTTGGTAAAGCGCTTGAACACAAAGTTCCGGTTAGTTTTATCCGAATAGCTATTATCTTAGACGTTTGAAGAACTCTTAGTCGGACGGATTTAGGCAGATAACTATTAAAACGACATGTTACTGTGAATCATTCTTTCGTGTCAGCTTTAATTACTACTTTTATTAAACAAGCCAAGATTGAGTTGTTAATAGTTTTAACTGTACAGGGAGACGCTCGCGAGAACGATAATGCAGATTTGTGGGTAAATAAAAATCAGCAATTAATGACTGACTTTATGTTGTTTTTAGATTGCAATTGTTCCAATTCTGACTCAGACATTATTATCAACCTACCTATATGGCTTATGGCATTGTCCTAATCCAAATCAGTCAGTCAGCTACAACGTAGGACCAGGCACATATGTGCATCGGTTCAGGTTGCCATACCTCATTAGCACAACAAGATGAACAGCGGATTCATAGGAGTGGTTAGGTCAAAGGTTGCAATAAGGATATAGTATAGGAAGAAAGAATTAGTTCGTAGAAAGAAAGATATGACGCGATTTTAATCTCTTAGTTTAAGGGAAGACAAGGAGTGTATACACCGACGCCATTGTGATCGATTCTGAGCCATGTCACCAAGAGTCTCCAACCATTGGTTACGAAAGTCACGCGGACCCCAACCAAGTAGTCTGCATCTACCAACATGGCTCAGACTAGAAGTTAGTGACTTCAAGCACTGATGCCACGTTTTGGTTTGGCCGCCGCTAACTTTCTCCCAATCATCCCGAACACCGGTTAGCATTGCACGTCGTGGTAATCGGTGTTCAGGTATACGTAACATGTGGCCCAACCATCTCAGTCGATGAAGATTCATAACCTCATCAACTGATTTACCATCATTCCCTAATACCCTGCGTCTAACCTCACTATTACTTACCCGGTGATCCCAGCAGATGCCAGCAATATTTCTAAGGCATCTGTGGTCAAATACTAATCCAAATATCGAAACATGTAGTGGAAATCAAGCAAAATATCATGAATCAAATTTCGCAGCTTTTTATACTACAATCTTTTGACATTCTTTAAACAGTTAAACCTATTTATTTCATTTCACTTATGTGTTTTATTGGCTCCTTAGTAGTTAAAATTTTTGTCTACCAGTCAATGGGTTATCCTTTTCCAAACTTTCTTCAATAGGTGTTAAACAATACAGTCCTGTATAAAATTGAATATTCATTTTGATCAATTAAGTGTAATTCTGTAGTGAACGAGAACACAAATGGGGACAATGGGATGTAATTCAATACAAAATTACAGAATCACTTTGTGAAATCTAAAAACCGTACAGTAAATAGTTCATTTACAGAATGCCAATCAATCGTCTTAGACTTCATTGTTCTTTCGTTTCCACGCCAATCATTCTCTATTCTCGTTCTATTTCCATCGGTCTTCATAAACTTCTACCTCCAGGCAATCCACTTTTGATTGATGATACATACTACTTATATCTGTCGACATCAGTAGCATAGCCCACACAAGCAGTATGATATTCTCCTGATTGTTCAATTTTTCTTTTTTTTTGAAAAAATTAGGCCCAAAATGTATTCAATGAAAAGATTCCATTATGTATCATTACACAAATTGATAGAAATTTACCATGTGCTAAAACAATGAGATCTGAATATCATCATCAGCAAGCATCAACATCTCATTCTACATATGAGAATAGAGATTATACAAATAGTTGTCGTTCTTTATTATCAATATCTAGTAACAGAGAAATTAGCGATATTGCACCATCCGTTTTAAAGGTATGTGTATGGTGATTGTAATTTCTTGACGATTTTGTTTTGCCAAAGTTATGATTTCCATGATATTATGTTTACCAGAGTAGAAGATAAGAGTATAGTAGAACACTGTACTATGCTTTTATTACTTTAAGCTTGGCATTGTTGAAGTATGGTTAGACTGTTCAGTCATTCATTCATAAACAACGTAGAACTTGGCATTTATGTGAGTCAGTTTAATCTCACACACTATATCAACACACTGAGATCCCATAGTGTGAGGACGGTACATGGGTTTTCGAAGAAGCTACACGTAGAGGTCTTAGAATATTCTTCCAAAAGGTGGTTCGATGGAATATCTTCGGCTCTTTCTGAGCTTCGCCATCGTGTTTTGGGGTTAATAAATCTTCACATTTACCAGTCTTCCTGTACTTAATTTCGCGTCGTGGGAATTTCCAGAGGTCTCTCGTTTCGATCACAAGTGATAAGAGTTTTCGACATAATAATCAGCGACAACCAGATATAACAAATAGCATTCAACTGGCAAGGCGTATCACATAGTAGTAAAAGTAGTAACAGTTCCAAACGTTACTTACTTACGCCTGTTACACCTCGTGAAGGAACATAGGCCGCTCAACATCATTCGCCATCCAACCCTGACCTGGGCAATCCTTTCCAGCTCTTTCCAGTTGTTATTAATCCTTTCCATATCTGCTTTTATTTCCCGACGTAATTTGTTCTTTGGCCTTCCTCTTTTCCGCCTTCCTTCAGGATTCCAAGTTGGGGCTTGTCTCGTGATGCAGTTTGACGACTTGCGTAGTGTATGTCCTATCCATTTCCATCGTCTTTTCCCGATTGCTTCAGCAAGAAACTGGTTTGTTCTCTCCCACGAAAGGCTGTTGCTGATGGTATCCGGCCAATGGATGTTGAGTATCTTGCGTAGACGGCTATTTATAAATACTTGCACCTTCTTGATGATGGTTGTAGCAGTTCTCCAATTTTGAGCTCCGTACGTACAGTAGAACTGCCTTGACGTTCGGATTAAAGATTCTCACTTTGATATTGGTTGAAAGTTGTTTTGAGTTCCATATGTTCTTCAATTGTAGGAATGCGTCCCTTGCTTTGCCAATCCTCGCCTTTACGTCTGCATCTGAACCTTCTTGTTCATCGATGATGCTTACCAGGTATGTGAAGGATTCTACATCTTCCAGAGTTTCGCCCTCAAGTGTGATCGGATTGGTGTTCTCCATGTTGTATTTGAGAACCTTGGTTTTCCCCTCGTGTATGTTGCGGTCCACTGATGCAGAGACTGTTGCTACACTGGCCGTCTTTATCTGCATTTGTTCGTGTGTATGCGATAGGAGGGTCAGGTCATCTGCGAAGTCCAAATCGTCTAATTGGTTCTGAGCTGTCCATTGTATTCCGTGTTTTCCTTCAAATGTCGAGGTCCTCATAATCCAGTCGAACACCAGAAGAAAGAGGAAGGCGGAGAGTAAACAGCCTTGTCTGACTCCGGTCCTTACTTGGAATGCATCTGTCAGCTGTCCTCCATGCACGACCTTGCACTGTAGTCCGTCGTATGAGTTCCGGATAATATTGACAATCTTTTCAGGAACTCCGTAGTGTCGAAGAAGTCTCCACAACGTCCTCCTGTCTACACTGTCAAATGCCTTTTTATAATCAATGAAGTTGATGTACAGTGACGAGTTCCACTCAACTGATTGTTCAACGATGATCCGTAGTGTTGTAATTTGGTCTGTACGCGATCGATCCTTATGGAATCCAGCTTGTTGATCTCGAATTCGGGCGTCATCATTCATTCATCCGGTTCAGTAACACTCTATTGAAGACTTTCCCTGGTATTGACAGTAGTGTAATGCCTCTGTAGTTTTCACATTTGCTCAGGTCTCCTTTCTTTGGAATCTTGATGAGGTGTCCTTCTTTCCAGTCCATCGGCACTTGTTCCTCCTCCCAAATCTTTTTGAATAAAGGGTGAATCATGTTTGTAGTTACTTCGATGTCTGACTTCAATGCTTCAGCTGGTATTTTGTCGAGTCCTGCTGCTTTCCCGCTCTTGACTTGTCTGATGTCCATTCTGATTTCTTCCGTCGTTGGTGGATTGACATCTATAGGAAGATCTGTGTGCGCTGCTTCGATGTCCGGTGGATTCATTGGAGCCGGCCTACTCAGGAGTTCTTCGAAGTACTCTACCCATTTGTTCCTCTGTTCGGTGATTGGCCTGCCTTCTTTGTCCTTGACCGGTCTCTCTGGTTTACTGTATTTCCCTGCTAGTTTCTTCGTTGTATCGTGAAGCTGTTTCATATTTCCTTCTCTAGCTGCTGTTTCTGCCGTCGTTGCTAGTTCTTCCACGTATTTCTTCTTGTCGGCTCTAAATGCTTTTCTTCACTTGCTTGTTTGCTTCTATGTATTCAGCTTGTGCTTGGACTTTCTCTGTTCGTGTTCGGCTGTTGTTAATTGCTGTCTTGTTCTTCCTTTCTTTGATATTGTCCAGTGTTTCTATAGAGATCCATTCCTTATGATGGTGCTTCTTTAAACCCAGAACCTCTTGACACAGAGTTAATGCTTCTTTGATACTTTTCCAGTTGTCCTCCATAGTAGTTGCTTCTTCCTTCAGTAGATTCTGTAAAGCTTGGAACCTGTTGTTGAGAGCTATCTTGAATTCATTGAGTTTGTTAGTATCATGAAGGAAGGCTGTAGTAAACCTTTGTAGTGCTGTTTGTCCAGTTCTTCTTTAGCTTCAGTTTTAAATTAGCTACAACTAGATGGTGATCTGAAGCTATGTCAGCTCCTCTCCTGGTTCTCACATCTTCGATTGTCCTTCGGAATTTTTTATTGATGCAGATATGATCTATCTGGTTCTTTGTAGTGTGGTTCGGTGAGATCCATGTGGCTTTGTGTATACGTTTTTGTGGAAATATTGTGCCTCCTATGACCAATTTGTTGAATGCACAGATTTGCAAATCTTCCTCCATTTTCGTTTCTTTCACCCAGTCAATGTCGTCCCATGATATCTTTATATCCGGTGTTATCTATTCCAACTTTGGCGTTTAGATCTCCCATCAGAATGGTGAGGTCCTTTCTTGGGCATTTCTCTATCACTGACTGCAGCCGCTCGTAGAATTGATCTTTAATGTCGTCATCGCTATCATTGGTGGGTGCATAACATTGGATAATATTCATTAAGATCCCCTCCTTCTTTGTTTTGAATGATGCTTTGATGATTCTGGATCCGTGAGATCCCCATCCTACAAGTGCATTTCGTGCTATTTTGGACAGCATTAGAGCAACTCCATGAGTGTGTGGAGCATTTTCCTCTCCATGACCGGAGTATAGTAGCATCTCTCCCGTATTTAGCCTCTGTTGTCCAGCTTGGGTCCAATGGGTTTCGCTGATTCCTAGTACTGCCAAATTGTATCTCCTCATTTCCGTTGCTATTTGACTGGTCTTCCCGGTCTCCCACATTGTCCGGGCGTTCCATGTACCTATACAATTTTTTGCTCTGGTTGTTAGAAGGGGCATCGGCCTCGTGGCTTCCGAGGAACTCGGCTTTCACCATGAAGCGTCATAATTCTTCTAAATGAAGACCTTCTAACTTTCAAGACAGAGTTAAAATGGTTTGAATTATTTTTTCTGGTAAGCGTTTTTTTAGCGAGTTAGTTTTCTACGAGATGGGGACGCTAACCCCATGCCCAACCCTCCCCCTTCACCCGGGCTTGGGACCGTCAGTAACTCTAGAAGAGCTACAGGCGGAGTTAGTTCCAAACGTTAGCAGACAAGTTTAGGCATAGAAGATATAGTTGGCGTAGGTACAACATCATATAGACAACAACTTGTAATCCAATTTGTATTAGAATGATGGATAGATTTGTAGAACAGTAACTTCCTAGTGTAAATCCTCAATTTTTATCACTATTTCATGCTAGTGTTCCCACTTTTTATAGACACGAAAACACAAGTTGTTAGTTGAATATCAAGAAGCGATAGAACCAATAACTTCTATTGATATCCCATTGGAATATGAAGAGAAACTTATTTCTTTATTGAAATAATATTTTACATATAATAATAATATTGATACTAAATGGATAATATTTTGGCAAACTCTTTATATTTATATACTACTTTCTTGGTAATCTGTACAGAACTGATGATTTTTCTTCTTATTCTTATCATTTAGTGTTCATGTAAATATGATCTTAATCAAATTGTTGGCATATTATCTTTCTAGTAAAGTATATTTATTTATTTGAAAATATAAATATTGGTATGAAGAGGCACCGAATAGTTATGCGCCACACAACTCACTTGATTTATGTGTGACTTGTGGTAATGCTTGAAGTGCCCAGACTGAAGCAGGTGGATATTTTAGAGGGTCTCACCCGGAGCCTTCAATCTAAAGATCTGATACACAAGGCAGTGAAACAACGTCAGGAGATAAAGTCCTATGGTGGCTGGTGACCAACAATTAATTCAAACGCCATTTGTTCCCTCAGGATCTTGGAGCCCAAGGATTTCCATCTTTTCTAGGTGGACTCTCCGTGTCTATCAATCCAGCTAAAGAGTCAAGCACTCGGTTTTCGTCCTCTCAATTCGTAGACAAGAGTAATGCCGCGAGAAGGCAGTGAATAGGACTACCCTGTGAATGGCTATATACGCGTGTCAGTGTGAGAGCGTTTCGAGAGGGAGAGCTGAATCTTCCCACCCTCGACCGTACCAGGGCATTTGGGGGCTTTCTTGTAAGGAAGAAAATTTTTTAACTTTGTGTACTGATGCCATGTTTTGGTTTGGCCATCCCTTACTTTCATCCAACCGTCTCCAACACTAGTCAGAAATACGCGTCGTAGTAATCCGTGTTCAGGCATACACAACACGATGGCCCAACCATCTCAGTCGATGAAGATTCACCTCATCAACTGATTTACCATCATTCCCTAATACCCTGTGCTTAACCTCACTATTACTTACCCAGTGATCCCAGCAGTTGTGAGCAATATTTCTAATGTATCTGTGGTCAAATACTAGTAGGTTACGAGTATCTTCTACTCTTAATAGCCACGTTTCGCAGCCGTAAATTAGGACAGAACGAATTGCCGCGCGGTATACTCGTCTCTTAATTGATAGTCGGATTTCTCGCCTTCGCCATAGGTGACGCAATTTGGCAAAAGCCAAACGAGCTTTTCGAATCCGTGCTGAGATTTCGTCAGACACCAACCCATTAGGGCTGATCAGACTTCCAAGTTGTCGACGCGTTCGACTACTTCGCTCCCTATCCTTAGTTCAGGTGTTGACGCAGGCCAGTCCTGAAGCAACAACTTGCATTTAGAGGAGAAACCTATCCAAAAAATCCTAGCATTGTTGCTCAGTGCTACCAAAAGACTGAATTTTATCAGCATCGTCACCAAACAAGTCTATGTCACATGCGTATTCTAAGTCGATAACCTGACCTCCTGATAGAAGAGCAATTACTTAATATTCAGATAACGATAACGTTATTTCCAGCAGTAGGTCTATGATCAAGTTAAACAAAAGTGGGGAAAGTGGACAGCTTTGACGGACACCACTTGAGGTTGCAAAATCAGATGACAGTTCGCCAACAGAAAACGGAAATGTTAGCATTTGCCTCGAGCACATTGCTTATATGTTGCTAAAACTACGTGAATATGTTAAATCGCCGACTGAACTACTCGTAGATATCCAAAATATATTTCTTGAGAAGATATAATTATTCAAAATTCCTATTGAATGGATACATGGTAAATTTCCGTAGGTTTCATCAATTCCGTTAATCCATAAGTCAAAAATCTATACAGGGGCTAGAAAACAAAAATGGGATTATTCTACACTAATGATTCGTTTACAAAAAATGCCTATCGTTCATGTTCCAAAGTTATGTAAATATGCCAATTATCCACTGCATGTGTATTTTCTATGAATATACAGTCCCTATGTAAAATCTTCTTGGTTAGTTCATGGTGTTAAGGCATGGCACTTGTTGATATCAATATTATTCCCCAGTTGAATTCCCATAGACGGAGAAAAATCTACCATGATTTTTACTGGTAACTTAACTGAATCTTTTAATAAGTAATATTCTTGTTTAACTCATTACAGATTTCAAGACGTTTTTAACAATTCTCTTCACAATACCATCACATCATTTGTGTGGTTTATTTATTTGAAACCTTGAATTTTATATGCTTCAAATATATATATCGTACAATCGCAACATAACCAAAGTGAAACTTTCCGTAAACACTCAGCACTTAGAACGATTATGTTCATATCTGAATATACTGACTAGTGGAGCTAATCCGTGTCGGGTAGAAACAGGTGTCTACCTAAGTACCATGGAAGATGGTTGCGCAATATCGTGGATTGGTTGAGGTTAGACATTAACACCATCGGATGCCGGCTCAGTGGTCCAGTAGGTTAAGCGTTCGCGCGCGAGACTGAAGGCCCTGGGTTCGGCGTCCTACGAGCAGGATCGTGGATGTGCACCGCTGAGGAGTATCACAATAGGACGAAACAGCCTTTCAGTGCTTGCAGGTTTTCAATGGTGATCTAACATCAATCAGTTCATAATCTCAATCAAGAATAAATTATTCTTTGAATGAATATTGACAGCAACCTCATTGTCATGGAAATGTTAATTCTATTCAAAATATACAAAAAACCAATAGTCATTTACAACTGGAGAAATATAAGGAGCAGAAATATAACTGGTTGGTGTTCATTAGAAAAATATCATTATTTGGCATAAACAGCTGGAAATATTAAATCTTCATTTTCATTGGATAGATCATTTAATTGTTGATTAGTATCCAACTTCACCATTACTACCATGTACCTTGAGTTACGTGTATTTAAAGTCTATATGATATTAAAAAGAATAAGAACAATGTGAAAAAGTAACAATATTAGGAGCCACTACACAGTTATGCTTAAATTACTGAGTGAGTAAGTTCAGAAATCAACCATAATATATTTGGAGTTGGGGGGGGGGTTCCAAAATTTCTTTCGGAAAAGTTCATAGGAGCTCATAAAACGTTTAGAGACAGCTTATCCCATCAGCATTGAGTAGAAGCTTCGCAGAAACATCTAGAAGGCTAAGAGCCAAGTGTAACATTTTTGACTGGATATTTATCCATACAGTTACTTTACTTAGTATGGTTCCACAAAGTCCTAAAAGCTCAAGGTTATTTGCAGCTATGAATAGCCTCACTTTTATGTACGGAAACTAATCTTTGAGTAAAACGTTCTTTTAGCACTTCTTGCTTTTTCTGTTGTATTCAATCCGCCATGAAGATGTAGCGTAAGCTTATTAGAAGCGTCTAGCAAATTGGGAGGAGCGTCTATCTAACAAACTTAACATCTAAAGGTATAACAACCGAGGATATATAATACACGTAAGAATTTACGAGCATTTTATGAATTACAATCAAGGTAAATAAATCTCTATCTCATTGAGTATGTCAAAAATATGAATAGACGTATTAAATAAAGCGAAGAGCATTTTCGTTTGTGTGAATGTACTTTGTCTGCAATACACATTTCAGATGTACAAAACTTGGTTAGAAGCAAGAAGATGAAGGCATTATTGTTTACTGTTTGCAAACATTTTAATACATATGAATCCAATTCGAGGGACGATAGGTCATAGTACAAACGATTTAATAGTACTATAAATGAAGTGGGAAGCTTAGTTTTGTTAGTAGATCTTCTCTGTGTTATTAAAATTTTGTTAATTGAATTCGGCTATTTACTCTGAAGAAGTGGCTCACAGTAAGTCACGAAACTTTAGAAATACAACTCTTGATTCGTTGAGATATAACAAAAAAAACTTAGTTGTGTTAAGTCGGTGAAGAATATGAACACAACTTGCTAGCAGTTGTTAACTACTATGGAAATTACATTACTACTGTAGAATAGATTGAGGTCTCTGTAAGTTTGAAATCGCGGATTAAATTTGTCAATGACAAATTTAAGGTCAAGTAAGAACCAATCAAAGTCTAGGTGTACAGAACAAGCTGTGAAACGCATATGGAGAAATTCGAACACTTCACTTCTATCTGAAGTTTGTGTTGATGATGTCGTTCAGAAGAACGATGAAAGCTCCACGACCAAACCATCCAACTCAGAGAACAAAACTCCATCAAAATATGTATCCCTTATAAGCATACAATTAATAAGAAGAGAGAATTTTTTTCACAACAAATAATTTACTAACCTGTTCACAAGCTGCAAGTAAACGAAAACTAGGATGATGAGGTAAAGATTTTACACCAATAAATTCTGATCGTAATACTGGTATCCAAAATACTAAACGTCCATTGGGATATAAAAGATAAGCTGCTAAATCCAATAAATCTTTGTATATTTTATTAACTGGATATACTTCCTGAATAAATAGAAAAAATACGAACAACAAAACTACCCAATTAAATTATACATGTATGCATACCAGAGACGTCCTACTCCCAGTGTTGATGAAATTGAGAGGACAAAAAGCAAATGTCCAGCGATTTAACCAGGTTGGTGGGTATGGAGGGTCCATTTAGGGCAGTTGGAGAGCCCTAATTACAAACCAGTGATGCACATGCGCTCCAGGATCCTGAGGGAACAAATGGCGTATTAATTTATTGTTGGTCACCGGCTACCATGTAAGGCATCTCCTGATGTTGCTCCACTGCCTTGTGGGTCAGACCTTTAGGTCGAAGGCTCTGGTTGAGACCCTCTAAAAAAACCGCCTGATCAGTCTGGGCACGCGAGCAGTATCACAGCCCACACATAAATCGAACGGCTTGTGTAGCGCATATGTTTTCGGTATCCTTTTGTGAGTGTTCAAATAAATAAGCAACAAAAGAGAAAAAAACGGTAGCGCAACTTTTAAACTTCATTTATTTTTTTGTACCATTCTTATGCAGTAGATACAAAATTACAGACTAATCGATCACTTTGTAATATTGATTTTTTTTGCCTGATGCATAATCAAGATACCATCGAATAAGTAACTGAAAGAAACTGTCTGTTAAGTTTGTTTACGCTCTCTCTGAAACTTTTGTTTATTGTTTTATACTACTGACTTATATTCAGTAAACAGTAGTATTTCTTAGCAATTTCAAAGAGTATGTTGTTTCGCAAGCTTATTGTATTGACGTATACTTATAACATTGTCTTTATCATCACAATCACTTTCTTTCAATCCATATAGCACTCATTCTTAGCCTTTGTATAATCGTTTTTCAAACAACGAGTTCTATGTTTATTTGCTTGTGGTCCCGTTTAGGCATGTTGATAAACTGTTATCAGCTGTCACAAGATACCTTACAAGTTGAGATCTGTAACTAATTTATATATATATATTACTCAACAAACAGTAGTATTATTGACAAATCGCTGTCTTATGAAAATTCAATTTTGCGAGTATCTCAATCATGCAACTAGACTCCTTGATACATTCAACAATGAATTGATTATATGTTTTCAGTAAGAATGATATTTCTGCTTATCTAATATATACATAGTCAACTGATAAACGATATATATAAGCGAACAATATTGATTTTGATTAGATCCTCATCAGGCATTCATTTAATATACAATAATATTTATATACATATATGAAATTAATTAAACCAATCAAGGCAGCTTATGAGTCAATGATAGTCAGTCAGTCAATCAGTCACAACGTAGAACTTCGTACGTACGTACATCAGTTCGAGTTGCC